GTAATTTTAATCTTAAAAAACCAGACACATTTCCAAAAACAAGTCTGATTCAAAGTTCCGTCCCTGATATGAGCGAAGTCCCAAAGACACACCAAATGTTTAGACGAGTTTCTTCACAGGAGTAATTGTAGGATATGTAGTAACTCTACAATAACTGTAAGATAAGTAGTGACTCTAGAATAACTGTAGGATATTTAGTGACTCTATATAATTGTAGGATATGTAACGAATCTACAATAACTGTAGGATATGTAACGAATCTACAATAACTGTACGATATGTTATGATTCTATAACTGTATGATATGTAGTGGCTGTACTGGCTGTACAATAACTGTAGGATATGTAGTGGCTGTACTGCCTGTACAATAACTGTAAAATATGTAGTAACTCTACAATAACTGTAAGATATGTAGTGACTCTACAATAACTGTAAAGATATGTAGTGACTCTACAATAACTGTAAGATATGTAGTGACTCTACAATAACTGTAAGATATGTAGTGACTCTACAATAACTGTACGATAAGTAGTGACTCTACAATAAATGTACGATATGTAGTGAGTCTATATAATTGTAGAATATGTAGCGACTCTACAATAACTGTACGATATGTAGTGACTCTACAATAACTGTACGATATATAGTGACTCTACAATAACTGTATGATATGTAGTGAGTCTATATAATTGTAGAATATGTAGCGACTCTACAATAACTGTACGATATATAGTAACTCTACAATAATCGTGGGATATGTAGTGACTTCGTTGTTAAGAACAGCGTATGATTTGGACCATTTGATACAACAATCCAGCACAGGCATGATGTATCTATTCCCACTGGTACTCTATGGTAGAGTACCAAGCATATCAACAGCAACTTTCTCCAGTATTGCTTCAATACAATACTGCTGTAGCTGCCCATGCTGTTTTTTGTTGTTATTTTTTCGTGGACCTTTTTGCTCACAGTAGAGTTCACATGTTTTACACCAATTCTTCACAGACCTACGGCACCCAAACCAGTAGAAGTGTTCTCTTACTTGCTTTAATGTCTTCTTAACACCTAAGTGTCTAGTTGTTGGAAGGTTTTTGAAAATGGCGGAGTGATTCAGAATGTCGAGACTATGGAAGTACTATCTGTAGTTGTTGTTTCTGTCCACTGGTATATTCCCATATGATAATCCCTCTAGTAAGCATAAAGAATCCCACTGGGCTCAACATATCTTTGTCTTGGGGTTATGTGGAGCGACTGTTTGTCTGAACTATCTGAATAATTTGTCTCAAACTCGTATGTTTTGACTGAGCAGCTTGAGTGTTGGATCACACCAGTTATTCATCATCATTTGTCGATGCCATATCTTTCACTAAGTACCTTTTGCTGTTATTTAGATCGTTAGTCTTTTCTATCCTATGCTTCTCTCATCTTACGGTGTTTACATTCATCATTAATATGCGATCTTCATGATAATGCGTCATCATTTCCATAGTTCTGTCTAGAACGATACGTGATGTTAAGTTGTATTCCTGCAGTTTCTGGAGCCATCTTGCTATGTGGCTTTCTGGATTACGAAACTTCACCAGTCACTTCAATGCTGTATGATCTATTGAGCATAAACATTTTTTTTTTTCATATAGAGAATGATGGAAATTACTCAGTGCTCGAACAATACAGAGCAGCTCCTTTCAAGTTGTACAATACTTCCTTTCTGTGGCACTCACTGTTTTGCTATAGTTGGTAAGCATATGTTCCGTTCCGTGTTGTACTCGTAACAAAATTGTTGTACTGCAAAAATCATTGTCATCTGAATCTAAATTGAGTAGATCTTCTGGAGCTGGTATGCCAATACAGGAGTAAGGGTTTATTCCTTCTTCAGTTTTTGAATGCTTATTCACAATCAGCAGTCCAAGAAAATTTATTTTGCTTTGCTTTTCAAGTAATTTGTGTAGAGGACGAGCTATGTTAGAGAAATACTTTACAAAATGAAGATAGTAAGAGCACATTCCAAAATATCCATTATTCTTTCACTGGCGGGTTCTTTTGAATTATTTGGTGAAAATAGTTCAGAGTCCAGTCTATGTAAACGATAACAATTAGCTTATTTCTCCCTTAACGTTTTTACAAGCTTAATAATTTGTTGTAGGCCTATGATTACAACTGACGCTAGCTATGCTACACTATTGTAAAAAAAAATATACTTAACTTTATCACTTCACGACTGAAACGAAAACACACTGACTGATTTACTCTACTGGCTAAAGATAACTGTCTCTCTCCTTTTAACTATCTTCAACTATCTTCTTGATACTTCGCTGAGCTTCGTATATGTATATAATTTACCTTCGAATTTACTACAAAATTTGACGTTAAATCCATTAAACTTTTCTACGTGTTCTACATTACAACACACAGCTCCCTCTAGATAAACAAATTACAATATTAAAAATATAGCTTATTAAAGTATCTTGGATAATTAGGTAGTAATAAATGGTTATTGGATTATGAAATAAATAGCTATTGTTTTGTGACATGAAAAGTAGCGTGAAGCACTCAGTTACACCCTAATATTGAAGTCTCGATTCAAATACTTTGAAAGTAGGATGGCGGCATTGAAAAAAGTACCCGACATTCAGTACAATTATGTGACAAACTACACAGGGTTTGATACGTTATATTAAAATAATTTTTAATATTCAAGTCATGTGACAACTGCAGTCGAAATAAATTCTGATGTACGGCATGTATCTGAACTACATTTTGACATTGTTTGGTATAATATAGGTGGTGTGAAGCCATAGAAAATAAACCATTTTCGAGAAGCGTAAGTAACAGTCCTTCCTAACTCAAAATATTCATATATATACACTGATTATAAAAGATACGTTCAAATTCTTGAATAATAGCTTTAAACTACTTATCAATGTCGATGATTGTTTTATTATGATAGTTACCATAGAGATGGAAATGTAGTTTTACTTTTGACTTAGATAAACGTGATTGAAAAACTCAGAACGTTAAGCCTACGACACTGCTCCTTCAAATGGCGATATTTTCTAGTTCGTTTTTCTTACATATTCCTGTTTTGTGACTGCGAATTTAACCTAAAACAATTATCAAGACTTACAGACGCAATCCTCAAAGATTTTTTACAACTCAAAATTAATATAATTTCTTCTGTAACGTTAAATATTTACAGACATTGTGTAATAAATAAACACTGTTAGTTTATACAATTTAATTTTGTGTCTTAAGAACAGAAAATATTGATTTTCATAATTTCCAAGATGCATTAGTTTAAATAAGTTGGCTGTAATGATTACTATATAATTTACTATCAAAACCAACAGAGAATATATGTAACCTTGTATTATGTTATGACCTTAGGGTGTAGACTTAAGCACGTTAGTATTACGTTTAACCGCGCGTAGGTCGAGAGTGTTTCTTTATTTTTTTGTACATGTATCGCATAAGTCAAAGCCATAAGATAAGAACTCATAAAATGCGATCCATTAAGCGAAAACAATTTTAAAGTGGCTGTAAAAAAAGTCTATAAATGATTCTAGTTTGAGCGAACAGATTAACTTCATAAAGTTGATTAAGCTAGAATGTCATTTGCTGTGCATTTGACACTTGTCCTTTATAAAACCTGATAATTTTGTTTATATATAGAACATAAATACAAAGTGGCCATCAAGTCATTTGGCCACTTTGCAGTGCCACAGCTGAGAAATGGTACAATGTATAAAGTTAAGAATTGGGAAACAAGATGAGCCAATAAAAAATAAACTAATAAATGTGCCAAATGAGTGCGTATTTCTATACTGCACATTCAGTATGTTGTGTCCTTTTGTGGCATTTTCAGGTCACTGATTTCTTCTAAAAGTGACAAATCCGCTTAATACCGGAAGAATTGACAAAATATTTACTGCGGAATATTTCTAAACTTCTTGTCTATTGCTGTCGTGATAAATAAAAAATAAAAAAACTAAACACAAATGTATAAAGTGAACAATCTTTATTTAGGACAAACACACTGAAAATGTATACTTAACTTGCCACAACGACAGCTGCATTTAATGTAGAGCTAGTTCTGAAGATATTCTAACTTTGTGATTTCTAGCTTCAAGATATCTCTTCCAGATCGTATTCCAGACTGAATAATTCTTACGTTAGCTACTTAAATCGGTAACGTCAGGCTTACACAGAGTACCAAGCGCTAATCACGTGACTAGTCATTCCCCAGTGAAATACAAGAGAGGTCATTCCCATTAGAGGTCACTAGACTGCCAGTGGAAAAATATATCGTTCTAACTTTACATAACCTTAGGTGACTTTAAAGCTATCTTTCCCGCCAGACGGTAAAAGGTACTACTAAAGGGTACTAAAGGTGAATGACATAGAACAATAGGTAGCTAGAGCAAAAGAAATTTATCACCCTTCTTGGCCAAAATAATAAGTGGAAACTCCACATTCCCTCGCATATAACAAGTTTTTGAAAATTTCCATATCAATACAAGGAGGTAGATGACACATAGTGTGTTTATATACTACACTCCCACACTCTCAACTACATTATCCAGTCGAGGAATAATATTGAAAATAGACAATTATAAAATGTCACGAGGAATGTAAGCGGCTTAGCATCAGATTGCATCCCTCAGAATGGATAGTGATTAAATAGCACTCTGAACCTTTAGATGACATCATCATAACCAATGATCTGCTGGGTTTAGATCTGTCCCTCTTATGCAATCATACTGACAATTCTTTTACCCAGCATTCAAGTGATTCAGCATTTCTTTTTATATGATTAGTTATGCAAATGATAGTTACGATTTGGCTCCTGGTGGCAACATATGTTAATCTCTTTTTATCGGCTCACCTTATCTTTCATATGTTGATAATCATGTTCCCCTCACCTTTATACAGTGTACTGTTTCTCAGTTATGACAGTACAAAATGGCCAAAGGACTTGATGGCTATCCTGTATGTGCACTGACCTTTCCGAAGCTTCCTTTTCCTATGGCTCGGAGTATTTGAAAGTCTTCCAAACTCACTGAAAAGTAAATTGTTAACATTTCAATAACTATCGATAACAGTTTCAAAAGGTTTGATAATACTATATGGTAGGAAAAAAAATTAAAAACTACAATCTTGAAGCCAATAAATCTATCAAAACTCAGCCATTTGTATTTTGTACCTCCTAACAAGACACTATATAAAAAAGCGTAAAAAATAGTTGCTAGAAATTATTTACAGTCAAAAATGACTTTGTTGACATTAATCGTAGTACATTATAAACTAATATATATTACAAAACAAAATCCGTAGCTTCAGAAAAACTGACATTTTTACGAGTCAAACACGATAAATGGGCTGAAGTTATTTTGTCACAGACTAGTTATTAATTTATGACAGGAATTATCTTTAAAAAATAGCAACCCATTATCGCTTATTGAAATCTGTTCAAGCTCACATATAAGAAAGGAGTAAGCAGCAAAATACATTTATATTTACACAAGTTCTTTATCGGTTGTACACAGTCAAACTGTTATTTTATTCACAACGTTTTAACTAGGATTATCTGGCATCGTTAGGTCAAATAAAAGAACGCTGTAAACTAAATAAACAAAATTTTTACTACATACAACTGGAAAGAAGTGTAAATAAAAACATAGTTCTTTCTAATATTTAATTCATATTACTTTCGTATTTAATTGAACATACAACGTATATAACGTAATGATAATATTCCTATTATCTATTCTGAAACGGCTCAAATGGCATTAATATTATCATAAATACAGCTGTCATTTTCATACGTCTAACACTTAACAATAAATAGTCACCTGGTACGTCAGTATCGCTATAATGTGCTTGTATTTTATCACGCAACCTGCACATAACCCTCGTATCCAATATTTTAAAAGCAGAACAAGTAGTTTTCGGAACCTCTCCTACTTTTCTACCAAAACTATGTGAAAATGCTTTACTTAACTATTTAAGTGTATTTAGTGCGAGTTAAAAAGGAACGCACAGTTCTATCTGAATTGCCATAAAACGCTGGAGTGTGAAATGTGGTGTCTACAGATTAAAAAAAACACAATAATCAGTTAGCGGGTGTGAGTGCAATACTACTCATGTCTCAGTAAAAAATGTGATTTGTTTGTTTGTAATTAAGCACAAAGCTACACAATGGGCTATCTGTGCTTTGCCCACCAGGGGTATCGAAACGCGGTTTCTAGCGTTGTAAGTCCGATTTGTTGGGGGAGGGGGCGTAAAAAATGTGAAATTACGTGTTTTGTATCTTAAATAAAACAGTTTTATGTTAATAAGTGAATTGGTATTTTTAGCCTTTAATGTCTGGGACACAGCGACAGGTTTCCCAACACTTAACCAATCAGTAAAGCTGTATATAATACAGAACAACAGAGATTCTGATCTATAATATCTTGACTATTGCGGTGGGATTCCAAGAATTTACACTAAACAAATCAGTGGCTGAAGATTACACAACATTCTGGCCTATAATATCTTAGTAGTAAAGGTGGGATCCAAGCATTTTCACTGATACAACAGTGACATTATATTACAGAACATCAAGGGTTCTGACCTGTAATTTCTTAGTATAACATCGATAAGATTCCAAGTACTTACTAATAGATCAACGGTGATAAATATTACGGAACAACAAATAGCATCACATCTCTAATTATAACAATAGGTTGAACCTATAGCTACTGTGGAAGCAGGGCTATCAGCTGTACCGGAAGGGGGAGAGGGGTAGTACAAGAGTGCTGCAACAAGAAAATAAAGGGAAGGAACAACAGCTATGTATTGTTATGACCCTAGTAACCAACAGACCATATAATAGAGGAAGGGACAACAACAACAGCTATGTACTGTTATGACCCTAGTAACCAGTAAGCCACTTAATGAAGTGAGGAACAACAACAACAGCTATGAACTGTTATGACCCAAGTAACCAGTAGGTCATATAATGTAGGGAGGGAAAATAACAACAACTGTTTACCGTTATGACACAAGTAACCAGTACTCCATATAATGGATGGAGGGGGACAATAATAACTGCTACGTACTACTTGTTACATAATTAACGCTAGAGGAAGAAAATACTGATGATCAAAAGATGTAAAATGAGTTTATCAAGGAGTAAATAATCTTTGTATTTACAGATTTGACTCAAATGCATTCTCACAAATTTCCACTGAAGTAATCACCATCAAAGAACAGTATACGAGAGCACATAAGGAGGCAATTACCAGGACTTACAGCTAGAACTAAGAAGGTAAGTAGAACAGTATGCAAGAGCACATAAGGAGGCAATTACCAGGACTTACAGCTAGAACTAAGAAGGTAAGTAGAATAGTATGCAAGAGCACATAAGGAGGCAATTACTAGGACTTACAGCTAGAACTAAGAAGGTAAGTGACAAAGCCATGAGCAAGACCTGTAATAAGAGTAAATAAGTGGATCACCGTAAAGACGAGTAATTAAGTGGATCATCGTAAAGACGAGTAATTAAGTGGATCATCGTAAAGACGAGTAATTAAGTGGATTACCGTATAGACGAGTAATTAAGTGGATCACCATAAAGACGAGTAATTAAGTGGATCACCGTAAAGACGAGTAATTAAGTGGATCATCGTAATAATTAAGTGGATCATCGTAGTAATTAAGTGGATCACCGTAAAGACGAGTAATTAAGTGGATCATCGTAGTAATTAAGTGGATCACCGTAAAGACGAGTAATTAAGTGGATCACCGTAAAGATGAGTAATTAAGTGGATCATCGTAGTAATTAAGTGGATCACCGTAAAGACGAGTAATTAAGTGGATCACCGTAAAGACGAGTAATTAAGTGGATCACCGTAAAGACGAGTAATTAAGTGGATCATCGTAAAGACGGGTAATTAAGTGGATTATCATGCTATAAAAAGAAACGACCAAAGAAATAGAAGAAAAGGACAGTTCC